TGCACAGCTCAGTGACTGTATGCACAGCTCAGTGACTGTATGCATAGTAAGACATAGGCAAATCACTGATCTCTTGATTACACAAAAATTCTGTTTTGTTTTGAAAGGCCAAGAAAGCAGAGAGCTCGCCAAATGTTGAAACTTCAGATGAGGGCAACTCGAGGGGGCACAGTGCTGGTGAGTGGATCCTTTGCAAGCTGCAACAGGTCCAGGGAGGGATGGAGCCTGTCATTTGGGTTAGCATCCTTTTCCAATCTGATCCAGAAATCCATGTCCTCAATTTCCCCCAAGGAAATATTCTATTAAGTGTTGGTATTTCTTGAATGTGTTTGATAAACTGTGGGTTAATGGGCTTACAAACTAAAAGTTCTGTTGCGCTTTTACACAAAGCTATCTTTATCCTCCCGCAGCCCCAACATCACTTTCAGTTCTGAGAAAGACTGATTCTGTCGCTTGCTCTTAAATCTATCCTGCTCCAGCGACAAACATCTTTAATTTCAACAAAGTTAAATTCTCCTGGCTTAACTTCTGGCCTCTTTGCACATTGTTTTTCATGCACTTCAGATTCTGACTGTCTTAGGCAGGGCCAAGGAGAGCCATTGTCCTCTTGCAGCTCTGATACAGCCTGCCGCAAGGAGACATCCGAAGCCCGTGCACACGTCTGAGGGCAGAGTCCGTCCACACATTAACATCTGTTCATGTGCTTTCCCGTGTCTTCCTCCTGGCTTCGCGTTCTCAGGATCTGGGTTTTCTCTCTAATGAGTGAAAGAGAAGCTATGCATCTGGATGACTTTGTGTTTAATATACAACTTCTCTGTGTTTACACTTCCTTTCCACTCTTTCCTGTTAGATTCCTGCGTGAACTTCCAGTGTAAAAGGGGACACACTTGCGAAGCAGATCAGCAGGGGAAACCCCACTGTGTTTGCCAAGACCCAGAGACCTGCCCCCCTGCAAAAATCCTCGACCAAGTAAGTATTCTGGACAAATTCCTCAAGATAGAAATAGTTTGTAATTTAATCTATTTTTAAGTGGGTGCACAGTTTATCTAATATGTGAAGTAATATTGAGTGGGAACAGATACCAGAGAAATCAAAGTATTTTGATTATGTCGTGAAAAAGAAGAGATAGCCCAGCAGGTTTCTGTGCAGGCCTAAGGATGGGAGTTCAGATCCAGCACCCACATAAATGCTAGGTGGGTGGAAGTGGCAGTGTCCTTGTAACTCCAGGATTCTCAGAAGGCCGAGGTGGGGATTGCTGGAGCAAGCTGACTAGCAAGACTAGTGGTACAGATGATCTCTGGGTTCAACTGAGACATACTAGCTCAGCAATAAGATGGGTAGAGATCAGCAAAGACCCCTGACATAGCCCAAGCCTCCCACACGGGTGCACACACAGAAGCACAGACTGTAGTATGAACACTACACCCATAGCACATAAAATATTTAAAATTTAAAAGATAGTGAGCAGGCAAACTTTCAAATTCATTCTGTCCTGGGGACAGTCAAAATTACAGTCCATGGAGATCTATCTATACGAAGTTAAATTATCATCATGGGTTTACCTTGGTGCCAAATCAGAACATTGGTTTTTTGTTTTGTTTTGGGTTGGGTCGGGATTTTTGTTTTATCAAGACAGGGTTTCTCTGTGTAGCTTTGGTGCCTGTCCTGGAACTCACTCTGTAGACCAGGCTGGCCTCGAACTCACAGAGATCCGCCTGCCTCTGCCTCCCGAGTGCTGGGATTAAAGGCATGCGCCACCACCGCCAGGTCAAAAATTGGTATTTTAGTAGACTCTGTCTGAACACATTACTGGCACAACACAGCTACCAGAGAGACATTCCGTGAGTTCTGGGGATGTGTTCTCCGGCGAGTACTGCGCTCCTCACTTCTCCGTGTTTCCCTCACCTAGGTTTGTGGCACCGACAACCAGACCTATGCCAGCTCCTGCCATCTGTTTGCTACCAAGTGCCAGCTGGAAGGGACCAAGAAGGGGCACCAACTACAGCTGGACTACTTTGGAGCCTGCAAATGTAAGACACTGACCACTGCTCAGAGCATCATTTCTGGGTGGGCTTAGGGTGATTTTTGTGCCTCTTTGAATTTTATATATTATACAAACAAAAAGGTTTATATAGTTATGAAGTCAGACTGAAACAAAGCCAGCTCAGGAATGCCCAGACCTTATCCACAGGAGACTCTGACTCCATAGGGCTGTGCTGGAACCATAGTTTTACTTTGCTTTTTGTTTTTTAAGAAACCTAAACAATTACAGGTCTCCCCACTGAGTTCAGAGGCACCATTGTAATATAGACATGAAAGACAGGGGTTTTATGAATTACACTTACCTTCCTCCCAATTTCACTTAAGTCTTTGCCAAGAATTGTATTGCAGTAGATTCTTCCAGAAGGTGTAATGCCATCTTCCTGCCCCAGAATTTTTTCAGTTGTGTTGGGCTCCCCTTGCAGATAAGTAGTTCCACACTTGTACAGACCCCACTCACACTATACATATGTGTGTGTGTGTGTGTGTGTGTGTGTGTGTGTGTGTGTGTGTGTGTAGTATTATTGTTTGACTTGCTCTGTCCACTGATGTGGACAAAAGTCACCCATGTGCATTCTGGGCAGAAGCCCGTGAAAGCTGCTATGTCACTGTGTTCTCTTGGTTTGTCCCCACACTCAGAAGCTTTGTGCTGAAGCGGTAGCCAGTGTTGAGGCCCAGGGAGACAGTGATGAGCTGAGCCCTTTTGGCAGTCGGTGTCTGATATGGGACCACCTGGAGACTAGCATGGGGTTCTCCAAGTGCAGATTTGTCTTGTGGTTTGCTGCTGCAGAGGGAGCTCCGCTCAGCCTTTTCCTCTACAGCTAATCAGCAACCCACTTGCCCTCCAATTCCAAATTCCTGGTCCCTGGATTTAGCACTAGTTCTCAGCTCTTTACTGCGTGTCAGAATTATTCTGGCATCTCTTAAGACATCTCGACGCCTAGAACCCACTGCAAGATCATGAAGACTTTCTTTCCGTAGAATTGTCCTCTGCTAGTCATAGTAGTGTGAGTGCATCATCTTGGCACTTGCGAGAGCGAGGCAGAAGAAGCCCAAAAAATATCCAAGAACTTTTGCCATTTTATCGGTATGTTGTGAAGACGTACTAGGAGATTCTACCATGCTTCCGGGGGTAAAGCCCACCATAAGGAGGAAGGAGATGTTGAGCTTCCTAAGACTTGTCCTTTGAAGTATGGTCATATCATGTTCTCTGCTCCCTCCCAGCTATTCCTGCTTGTACGGACTTTGAAGTGGCTCAGTTTCCCCTGCGGATGAGAGACTGGCTCAAAAATATCCTGATGCAGCTCTACGAATCGAATCCCAAACATGACGGTTATCTAAATGAAAAGCAGAGAAGCAAAGTGAGTCCCACTCTCTGCTAGCTCTGCGTCTGTCTGCCGGACCCGAGAGGGGAGGTGTGGTGAGATCACACTGGCTTGCACAGCAGCAGAGTCTGCCCCCACCCTTCTCATCTGGTTAGCCTGCATGCATCAACATTCTGCAGTGGTCGCCATCCGTGCCACCACTTCCATAATACAGCCAAACTGCCCACCTTTTACTCATGGGCAGCAGCCTGGAGAGTGTTCCTTAGGTTGCATCTTCAGAGAGCTATAATCAAGCAAAGTTAATTAATGCAGCATTTATGGGATCCGCTTTCCATGCTTGTAACAAATACCTCAGACAAGACAACTTAAAGAAGAAAGTTCTCTTGGTTCACAAGTTTTAGAAGTTCTAGTCTGTGACCGATGTTGACTGTGCTGCTTTGGGCCTGGGTTGAGGTAGTAAATTGTATCAGGGAGTACTCACTTCATAGTGGGCCAAGGAACAAAGCAAAAAAGAAGAGGTGCTGGGCTCTCCACATCTCCTTTGAGGGCATGCTCCTGTACGACCAGGAAACTTCCAACTAGGCCCTACTTCTGAATGTTCCCACCACTTCCCATGAGTGTCATAGGCTGGGGATCAAGCCTCTTAACTCATGGGCCTTTGGGAGACATTCTATCTGTGATAAAGCAGGCTCAAAGTGTTTAAATATAATATTTTCACCCTCATAGACCAGGCACAGATTCTGCTATAAGGGAAATTAATTGCTCATAATAACAGCAACATGTTAAGGTTTAAAATTGCAGAACATTAACTCCAGAAGTTTCAAGAGAAGATTCTTTTATCGGGTAGTTAGTGAATGTATCCCAGGTGCCGAAATTGACCCACATTCTAGAGATACCATGATGGACACATCAAACTTCCACCTAAAAGGCAAGGAGACAGATTACTATACAAAAGTAAGTTCATGTGTGTGAACTGTCTGGCAATAAACTGAACGTTTATTGTACCCGTGCAGCAGGTCCAGTTATTCCAGGGTCTGAAGGGGCGCTACCTGAAAGAACATGGGCGAGAGAGAGGAACGAAGCCAAGCAAAATTCTCTTGTCAAAGCCTCCGTTTATTAGCGTAATGGCAGCGGCTTATATAGCTTCTGGATGAGGAACCTGGGTTGGGGTGGGGGGCTTTGCCAGGGCAGCAAAGGTTACTAGTCAGCACACCTGGTAAGCGGAAACATTCTTTTTGTGGCTCCGCTTAACAAACAGCTCTCAAGGTAGTTGGGATGTGGGGGCTCTCTGCAAACATCCTTAGGACAATGGTCCCTGCTATCAAGATAGTTGGGACGTGAGGCAGGTTCCATCAGCAAACAGCTCTCAAGGTAGTGGGGTTTCTGCAAACATCCTTAGGACAATGGTCCCTGCTATCATCTTTGGGAAAATGGCTCCTGACAGTTTATTTTACGGAGTCATTTTAAAACAAAAAAAGAAAGGAAGGATGGAAGGGAGGGAAAGAGGGAGGGAGGGAAAGAGGGAGAAGAAGGGAAAGGAAAGGAAAAGAAAGGAAAGGAGAGGAAGGGAAGGGAACAGAGAGGAAGCTGCTGTGTTAATAAGAATCCATTTCATCTGGGTCAGGCTTCACATCCTTGACAGGTTTAGTTACCCTTCAAGTAAGATGTAACAAGTGACAATTCTGAGACACTTTCCTGGTACTCTGACAACCTTCTGCCTTCTTAATCTTAGGTCAAGAAAATTTACCTGGATGAAAAGAGGCTCCTGGCTGGAGACCATCCCATCGAGCTTCTCTTGAGGGACTTTAAGAAAAACTACCACATGTATGTGTATCCTGTGCACTGGCAGTTTAATGAGCTGGACCAGCATCCTACAGACAGGTAGAATCCTTCGCCTCCCACCCCAGGACACTCCAGACACCATGAGGAATGTTTCCAGCTTCATTTTCAAACACTAAATGCAAACCACTGTGGTTAGGAATCTAATTAAAAATCACTTAGAAAATAATGGCAGACAGAACCAGCACAGCTTCTGAATTACCATACTGAGTTTCCTTATTAAGTCTCGGGGTTGCCCACAGAGATGCCTTCTATTCTCATTCTGGAACTAAATCCACAAGGTAATCTCATTGGCTCAACTTGGGTCAAGTACCACCTCTGGGACAATTCCAAGCTTGCCGGTGAGTGAGAGCCAGCTCACACAAGCCCGACTTCCAGGTGCTCATATAGACTGGGGTTGGATGATCCACAATTCCCAGCAAAGAGGCGCATCTCGGGCACCACAACTTGTTCTTGCCCGCAGCTTTCCACTATGTATGACTTAGTCACTTGGCATACACAGTGACCTTGTAGAAGGAAATGCCCTTGGTGTTCAAGACTCCCGAGCAAGTCAGGCAGTTAATGGGTTCTCATTGTCCTCTTACAGAATTCTGACGCATTCTGAACTTGCTCCTCTGCGAGCTTCCTTGGTGCCCATGGAGCACTGCATAACACGCTTCTTTGAGGAGTGTGACCCCAACAAGGACAAGCACATCACCTTGAAGGAATGGGGCCACTGCTTTGGGATTAAAGAAGGTAAATTCATTGTCAAGAACAATGTCTACTTCCTCAGATAAATGCCGAGTCTTGTGGCTTAATAGCAAGATCCTACTGTAGCAGTGTGTGTGTGTGTGTGTGTTCGCACACACAGGCCTTTAATCGCGAAACTCAGGAGGCACAGACAGCTATATCTCTTTGCATTCTAGGCCAGCCTGTTCTACACAGTGAGTACCCGGACAGCCAGGACTATATAGAAAAACATTGTCTCAAAACAACAATAATAACAATGTAAACAAAGCCTAACTAACAATACTAAGGTTGTCTTCTGACCTCCATGCACACATATGCATGTACACACACACACACATACATCAGATGCTTTATGGATATGTCTAAAAATACATACAGATGAGCATACAGCCAAGCAACAAGAAAAGACAGACAGTCCAAGGTCAGACTTCCCCCCAGAGGTTGTATGTGTGACTTCCACCTTAAAATTCCTCTTCATGCCCATGTACTATGGGCTGGAATTAGCAAGATCCGAGAGTGTTGGGACTGAGTCCTTTCACGCTCTGCAGAAGACCGACCCTGGTGCTCTCAACCGGCCTCTGTGAATAAAGCCGGCGATGAGCCCGTTTCTCTGAGCAGCTCCTCTCCTGCGTGAGCTGCTACACAACATAGCAAATCACCCCTGAATTAGCAGTCTAACATCTCAGTTTGCCAGGGGTGGGAGTCTGGGAATCACTTTCCCGGGTGGTTCTGGCTTAGGGTCATGTGACCAACCTGGTAGCTGGTGCAGAGGTTACTGCAGGACCTGCTTCTAGTCACCTGACTATTTGTAAAAATCCCACCAGATGGTGCCACCTACCCTTAGTAACCCGAGGCTGAAGTCCACATCCTTCTGACATGTTCTGGTGGTCTCACAGGACAACACTGCTCTCATGTGGGGAACACGGGCCAAGGGAGATCATGGGAAACCATTTTGGAAACTGTACTCTATTAGTACTGACAAAAAATGAACAAGCTATTAGACCCAGACTGGTATAAAAACAATCAATTTCCTTTCTAATATCTATTCTCCAAGCAGAGTATTTATACAAGTTCAAATATGTCCCCCAAATGGTTAAACCTGCCTTTTCAACTTCCTGCTGAAAAGACAGAGCATCCCCAAGTGCAGCTGAAGCCCACTGTTAACAACGTGAGGAGCTCAGCTGGGCCAGACCATTTTCCTTTGTTTTCTTACGGGACTTGGGACTTTAAAGACCTGATATAAAAAAAAAGGCAAATTTGAATTAAAGACATTCATTTACTTAAGGGAAAAAAGTTTTTCTTCTCTGCTTCCTTTACAAATGTCTGGTGGTTCTCCTGGAGTCTGCCTGCCCAGGCTCTGCGCTGGGAGGAGTAAGAAAGGTCAGAGCCCAGTGACTCCAAAGCTACTAATGGCCCTGTTTGTCACTGTGGTCTGGCTGGCGTTACACTGTTTTGAAGCTGGGAAAGAATTATCACACACTAAGCCAATAAGGCAGTCATTAAATGTTCCCTTAGAATAAGCAAACAAGTTATCACTTTGGGAAACCACGGGGCAAGGCAAAGAAAGAATGCCATGTCTTTATAAATGCACTTTCTTCCCTGTGAACACTAGTAAGAGCACAGGACGAGACAGACTTGACCAGCATTTCCCAGAATTTCAACTGCTTGCGATCTAAACCAGCTCTGCTTAAAGGGCACAGAGCCCTGTTACCAGCTGCGGGTGCGCCGCTTGCCCTCAGTCAGTCTCCTCCTTGGCGGTAATAAAGAAGCTCAGAAAAGTGGTGGAAGGGTCCTCGTGATGCTGACACCATGTGCCTCGGTCAGGGTTTCAGTTAATATGATCAACACCACAACCAAAAGCAACTTGGGGGAAAAAAGGTCTATTTCATCTTACAACTCTCCGGCCATGGTCATCAATGAGGGGACTCGGGGCAGGGGCCTGGGGCAGGAGCCTGGAGGCAGGAGCTGATGCAGAGGCCATGGGGGGAGTGCAGCTTACTGGCTTGCTCCCATGATTTTCTCAGCCTGCTTTCTTATAGAACCCAGGATTACCTGGCCAGGGGTAGGGATCCACCACTCACAGTGGGCCGGGTCCCCACAGGCTTGTCTACAGGCTAATCTGAGCATTTTCTCAGCTGAGGTTCCTTCTCAGCTGGCTTCACCGTGTCAGGCTGACAAAAGCCCAACCAATACACCATCTATTGTATCTATTCACATCACTCTTAGAAAAAAAAAAAACCTTTCCAAGTGAAACTAGTGGGGTAAGTCAGCCCATACTGGGTCTCCTGAGCCCTTTAAAGACTTTACTCCAGGGGTGTTGGTGTATGATCAACAGAGAGTCCTGTGGTCACGCGGCAGAGGGAGTTAAGAACGTCTGAGGATGCTGTGGTAAATCCAAGAGCAGATAAGAACCTGACTCAGAAGTGGTTGTGGGGAAGTAAGTAATGCAGTCAAGACACCTTAAAATAGAAGCATACTCTCATGGGGCAGGTTTGGGGCATAAGTGGGCAATGCCTGGTAACAGCAAAAGGAAGTAAACAGGCCCAGAGCGAGGGAGCAGACAGCTGAGGGAATCCTGAGAAAGCCTGCAGTGTCCCCGTATACGACAGGAGCAGATTTGGGGCGATGACAACTTCCACTTGGACACACTGAATTGTTAACACTGACAAAACAAATATGATTCCAAGCCCAAGATATGAGTCATGTGAGTCATAATTGCAAAAGAGTGTGGAAGAGAGTTCTGGGTATAATTCAGTAGCAGAATTCTTACCTCAAATATGCATGGACCCGAGCTTATGCCCACCAAGAGAAAAAGAGAGATCTGGGCATATGGGAACTAATCAAGGCTAAGGAAGAGAATTATTATGCCAACAAAATTGTATTAAGTTATGGGGCAAAGGTCTATGATTGAACACCAAGCCATCACACATGTAGATAACACGTACTGGAGAAGGGGTTCAGAAAGGAGAATGAGCAGTCCCCCCACAAGGAAGGAGTGAAGGAAAGTCCACGTCAAAGGATGTGCTACTAAGGGAGGCGACTATGCAGACTGCAAGGAAGACCAAAGGCAGAAGACAGTCACGGGTCCATTGATGTAGAGATAGGGGTGTCCAGGCAGTCCTGGGAAGGTTACCTGATCCAGAGCAGTCTTGTGGCCAGCAGAGGAGGCTGTGTCATCTGCCATCCAAACCTGATCTGTGCTGCTTACGCCGCCGAGACACCTACCCTTTCTACAGCACCTTAGTGTCCCTCCTACACAGCGCTCCTTGGCCTGCTCCTCCCATTGCCTGCCCTTGGTGGTTCTCAGCCGTACAAAGAATTCCAGAAGCATTGCCTAGGCATCCACGTGATAGCTGTCCGCCCCAGGGACTCTGACTCCAGAAGCTTAGAGACAGCTTCAAACATTCAAACTATTTGCTTAGGCAATTTTACATCTCCTGATACTGTCAAGGCACCAAAGCAGAAGATAGCCAGGGTTTTCTTTCGTCATTTAAGATTAGCTACAATCATACCAGGATTTATCCCTACTGCATGTACTGGCTTTCTGGGAACGTATTCTCTTTGGATGGATACCTTGCTCAGGCTAGATATAGTAGGGAGGACCTTGGACCTTCCCCAAAGCAATGTGTCTTACCCTCTCTGAGAATTGGATGAGGGTGGGGTGAGAGGGGGGTGGAGGGGATGGAAGGAGTGGAGGGAGTAGGAACTTGGATTGGTATGTATAATGAAAAAAAGATAGTTTGTTCTCTTTTTAAAAAAATAAAATAATAAACAAGATAAAAAAAAAAAAAAACGTTCAAACTATGTGAGAACCACTACCCTGCCGTCTGCGGATGGTTTCGCACATCCACAACTCTCGCCAGCCTTTCTCTTCCCAGGCGACTTTCTAAGAGTGCATCTATTTATTCATTTACTTATCCATTCATTTACTTGTTTATTTTTACAGAAGACATAGATGAAAACCTCCTGTTTTGAATGAAGATTTGAACGACCCGTGACTTCCCATCAGCCTCTTCTTCTGCTTTAACCACCTCTGAATCCATGCAGCCATGACACTATAGATTCATATTTAGCAAAATGTTTGTTTGCATGTAAGAGAATACAATGATAGTAACTGCTTGATGGTGATATGCACGTCTTGCATGCATTACAATGTGCCGGGCTTTAACCTTACCTTAGGAAATAGAACTCTAACATTAAGTAGGGTCAGTGTCTACAGAGGACTGCACGGCCTGGGAACAGTTTAACTCACAGTAATGTCTACTTTTATAATTGGCAACTGTAAAACATGAAAATGTGTTTGTATTGTCCATACACCTTATGCATGTTAAGGACGCGGGAATTTGCTCTTTTGTGGTTAACATGCTTCATGTTCAGTATCTTAACGTCTAATAAAGAATCTGTAAGCCCTCAAATGTCTGCACAAGTTGATTTCCAGTTATTTATTTAAACAATTAAAGAAGACCAACCCAGGGCTTCTGTTAAACAATGCTTGCTTCCTGCTCGAAATAAAAAGCACATTTAAAGACAAGGCTGAGATGTTTTCCCTAGCAAACAAATTGCTACAAACTAATCATGAGTATCCTTTGTCCTTATGTAAGTTCCAGTGGGGGGTGTTGAATTCAACTGCTTTTTAGCTGAGTGCGTGGGTGACTCTACATGGCTGTAGCCAGCCACTTCCCACTTCTGTGCAGTAGCACTTGTGCGTGGCAGAGAAGGAGGCAGACGATGAGCAGTGGGGGCCATCAGACAGCAGCACTCCTACGGCCTGACTGTGTCTTAGAAAAATTTTTGGGCTTTTCTGCAACACTAAAAACTGGGGCACAAAAGTATAAACGACACCACACTGTTTTCCAGCGTCTGAAGGGAGGCACCAAAAGTTTCTGGCAGCCATTGTGTTCACTTTATAATATTTGAAAGAAACAGAAGGTTATGTAGTTTTCTACTGAAATAGAAGCTATCAATACAATTATCTTTACTTGTTTTTATTTTTATGAGGTCAATAAGTCTCTTGCTCCTTAACTAAAACCACATTAAACCATGTCCATTCTACATAATTAAGTGCAATTTGACCAACCAAAATCTAATTGTTTATTTTCATCAAATAGGAAGTTAATTTTAGAAATTATTCTAAACTTCAGAATATGTTTATATATACCGAAATGTCCTAATTAGAAATCAAATTTTAGAAGCTAAATTTTGGAAACCACATTTTATAATTATACCAGCGGGTGTCAATTAGACCTGCATTTTATTTTACTCTCAGGCAACTTTGTAAAAAATACTTTAAAATAAGGAAAACTGATTTTAATATTAAGGATGCCATCTAAACATTTACTAAAAATTATTGAGAATAATTTTCATTTCTAAATAAAAATACTAAGAATGGAGATGTTCAAATCTTACCCTGGGTCTAAGGATCCCAGGAGACAGATCACAGAAGTACTTTCACGTTCTTAGTGGTCAGTTCCTAATGACGAGTTGGTTGCCACAGAGAATCGCTCTGGTTCCACCAAGGCCATGAAGTTGTCTTCTCAGAATCAGTCGTTAAGCCGATCTCGATAATTGTGATCATCTAGAAACCGGAGTCCAGGTCTGAAGCCAAATGCTCAGTTTAGTCTTGAGTGTGTGAGTCATATTGCCCGTGATCATGCAGGCATTAGCACCACAGCTTAAATACCAGCCAGGTGGAGGGATGTCAGGCCACACCGCTTCCCGGATCTGCCGCTCTGAGGACCATTGGAAGTACAGGTAATTAAAGCAATATAATTTATACTGCTCAAAGTAAGTGGGACAGTCTTGGGTTGGGAAGTTCAATGATTTTTACTATGTCCACTTATCAAAATAAGAAAGAATTTTTAGAGTGTGAATCTAGAAAATTCACAAAGGAAAAATATGAAACAGAAAGGATGAAAAGAAATCCGTGTTCAGGCAAAGTGATAGAAACTCAGCCAGCGCTGAGTTTCAGCATATTGCAGTAGCTGACAGATGGAATCTGCCCCAAATGTTGGGGACATGTCTTCATAAAAATATGCTGCCGGAGACCATAGGACAATGACGTAGTTTAAAACGCAAGCGTGACCTCACTAGCGTGAAGGTTCGCCCGCAGGGCAGAGCAGATCGTGCTGAGTTGCTTTACTGAATTATTCACATTGTGCTTATTCTAATCAACCCACTATGCCTTGCAGATTTTCCTCATAGAGCTTCCCTTCTAAAGAACTGTAATTATCAATGACAGCATCCAGGGCCTGTGGGCTGCTCAGTCTTCTGCAGGCAGGAGCTCTATTCTGTAAAAGCATTCTCTCCATTTAACCGATCACTTCCTCATTGTAGCATTAAAAACAAAAGATCTATGCACAGAGATGGCAATCTTGAGTCACTTCAGCGGCAGAAAGGCTGAGGTGTAAGGAAGGGGGGCGGGGCTCTGACAGGTAATATAACAAGCTAGAGAATGACTGGTATAAAGGTACTTGAAGCTTTTAAAGGTTTTTCAAGCTTTAAAAAAGAATGTGAATCTGGAGGCAAGATTTAGCCTGACTACTGACAGCGTGTCCACCTAAACTGTCTGTTCGCCATGGAAACAGGACGTCCCTCACTTCAGGCTCTCCCTTCAGAATGAAGGTTTTCCTCCTGGCCTCCCTGCTGAGCGCAGCCACTGCTCAGCCCATCCCTGTGAGTACTTCCTCAGCTGCTCCTTCAATCAGCACTGAGGCTTCCTATTTCTGGGCTAGGAAGCATCCCACATCTTCACAGAAGAGGAAAGAGGAGTCTGTGAGTGCAACGAGATCAGGAACCTTCCTGGGTGTAAGGGTCTGCTTCTGAAGACCTTAGCTAGATGGTGACCTTGGGCAAGGAACTAACTCACGCTTTCCCTGTCAGCTGAGTTTGAACAACCCCAGAGTGTATAAATGATTAAAAGTGGTTCCGAAACACGTACAGCCCCACTTGTAACAGAAAGCGCTTGGTAAACTCGGCAATATAAACCAAGTACTCTACAGGGACCCAGGTGGAAATTTAGTAGTTGGATTGAGCCTCGTTTATAGCACTGCCCTGCATTCATCAGGGTTCACTTAAAAAGCGCCTCTCAAAGATGCCCGGCACCAAGACTGCAGCCTGAAAGACTTGGTTTTACAGAGAGAAAGATTTAAGACTACCCACACTGGTTAGAACCTAACTGCTTAGAAGCTAGTATTAAAAACTTACGTCTGAAATACACAGTGCAGGAGTGCGGCAGCTCATGAAAATATTATCCATGGATGTCTTTACTGTCCCATTTTGGAAAACAAGATTTTTAGTAACAACCTATGCCTGTGTGCAGCACGCCTGGATAACCAGCCTGCTTGTTACATTAGGTCACAGTCGATTCTTGCAACATTAACAAGAATTGTTGATGTAGTGTGTTCTTGGTAGTGCTAAGGCCCAAACCCAGGGTGTTCCACACCAAGGCAAATGCTCTTCCATCTAGGTACATCCCCAGCCCACTAGCGTCTCTGGAAATGAGCATGTGTTTCGGTCACAGAGTGACGATGCATCACGTCCATTGCTCTGCAGGTGACCCATGAAATAATGACATGTTTTCTGACAGCATCTTAGAACACACAGAACACGGTGATACCACACCGCCAGCCGCTTGACCTTTCCTTGTGCACGGACTACAACCATGCTCCCCACATCTGTCACAGACCGTGCCCAGCACCCGTGAGGCGTGAAGCCAGCTCTGTGTACATTTGTCAACAAGGGGGCTTTCAAAGGAATGGGAGACCATTCAAAGGTTGTGGGGAGGTTACAAGATTTGACACTCAAACTCCCTTCCTTTGAACGTCTCCATCCTGAAAAACCAATCTAGAGCAGCAATGACGCTAACTAAACCATTGCGGGACATGCAGTGGATGACCCAGGAAAGGAAATAAAAACATGTTTTGGATGTAACTTTAAAGCTGAAAAGCGCTTGGCATTCTAAATGACTGGACAAGATTAATTCAGCATTTCCCTGTTAAATATGTAATGTATTTCAGAGGTGACAGGCATGATGCTCGCAGGCTTTTTTGCTGCTCTCATATAAAATAAAATGTCTTCATGGATAAGATATGGTCGTCAGCCATTTTACCTTGTTGCTTTTCTTGTTTCCAAGCTTGACCAATCTGGAGGAAGCTCCAGTGAACAGGTAAGCTTGACCTTCCAAACGGATGCTCATCGTTTAAAAGCTGTGGTTTGTGGACAGAGCCATTCACACTGCACTTCCTTTCACAGAGATTCAACTTTCTCCCACCGCAAATCCCGCCCTTCTTTCCTCAGTTTCCCTTCCCCCAGGCTCCTCCTCTGGTAAGCAGGGTGTGGGAAGTCTCAAGAGTATCATTTGGGGTGGTGGCTGTCAAGCGTTCCAGACCCAGACATAGGACACGTTAAAAGAAAAACTGTTGGCTGTTCACGGTCTTCCCCCAGCACGGCTTGTAGCAGGAGTCCCACGGCCCACCAGGCCTAGTCCAGGGGCACTCGTGCTGATGGCGCTGACCACGAAGGGGGCTTTGTGAACAGCAGCCTCTGTGACAGCATTCTTGGTTGTTCCTAAATCACGTTGTTGCTCGCTTTTCTTAAAAAGAAAAGTTTCCTCGGGTTTCTATAACAGAACCTTAGACACCATGTTTAATTAATCAAAATAATTATAGCTCCTAAAATAAAAAGAGTATATCAAATACAGAGTTCCCGAAGGACAGTAGCCTTATTTACTGGCACCCTGGGCCCAGAGGCCCAAGACTCTCAGCACACACCAGAAGGCTAAAACGGTGCTGCGTGAATAAAGAACAGAAAACAGCAGAGGAAAATGGACCTGGCTTGGTTCACTCACAGTTCACCTTTTTTTTTCTTTTTATAGAATCCAGTTCCGTTTCCCTTCCCTCTTAATCCGAATCAGGTAAATATATTTAAAACTTCCTTTAAGAAGATCGTGTTGTTGCTCGCTTTTCTTGAAAAGTTTCCTTGGGTTTCTATAACTTTTTCTCAAAAGTCAAAGCAAAACATTACTTTGACCTTCTTGCTGACACCCTCAGTGTCTCTGAATAGTTGGGACTTTATAATCGTCTCAGTGAGGGCTGGAGAAATACTAAGTGCATGATGGGTCCTTTTGATACATGCTCCCAGACACAAAGGCAACACTGGTGGGCTGTCAGTCAAACACTCCCCAAAGACAGATCCTGAGCAACAAAAGGAAATCCTTATTCTGTAAATCGGAAGCTCCCCCCGCCAGCAGAGGGCGCCTGGGTTCAAAAACGAGCAGAGTGGCCTCTGGTAGAGAAATTGGTGGGGTTGCAAGAACCTTCAACAGAGCCTTAGACACCGTGTTTAATTAATCAAAAAATTATAGCTCCTAAAAAAATAGTATATCAAATCCAGAGTTCCCGAAGGACAGTAACCTTATTTATTGGCACCCTGGGCCCAGAGACCTAAGACTCTCAGAACAGAAAACAGCAGAGGAAAACGGGCCTGGCTTGGTTCACTCACAGTTCACCTTTTTTCTTCTTTTTGTAGATTCCAATTCCGATTCCCTTCCCTTTTGATCCAAATCAGGTAAATATATTTAAAACTTCCTTTAAGAAGATATCTACTTGACTAATTAAAACTTGTTTTGTTTGGTTTAAAGAATGGGATGTACAATCCCACATATCCCTGAAGGCTGAAGTGCCTAAGCCAAGCTGTGACCACACGGAGGGAACAGGGGGCCAGCAGCACTAACTGGAGAACAGCCTGAGGAGGCAGATGCACTGGCTGTCTGAGCCTCTGGAGGGGATGGGGCAGGGAGGGTTCGGACGCTCTTCTCACCTGGAGGCTGCTGCACTTACACTTACAGGGATGCGACCTTACTGAAAGGTAGCATGTCCTAGCGCTCTAGTTAAGGGTAAGGTAGATGAGTACAAAGGGTGTGTTGGTTTACCTTGTATTTTTAACAAGGTTCTCCTGAAGTGTGACGGTTATTTGTAAGATGATAGATTCAGCTACAAACCAAAAAAAAAAAAAAAAAAAAAAAAAAAACTGTGTTTATTACACCATGGCAATTCAATCATTAAACACTATTGAACTTGTGAGGAAAAGCCATTCGCTGTGTAACTCAGTCTTTAAACACTATTGAACTTGTGAGGAAAAGCCATTCGCTGTGTAACTCAGTCTTTAAACACTATTGAACTTGTGAGGAATAGCCATTCGCTGTAACTCAATCTTTAAACACTATTGAATTCGTGAGGAATAGCCATTGGCTGTTTTTTCATGGAGCTTCTCCTAAGTATAATGCAATGCACATGCATGAGAGATCCTGCCCTCCCTACCATGCTGAGCCCACAAAGCAAACTGTAGAGTGCCCATTCCCAGAGATGGTTTGGAAAAGGGTACAGGAGAGTTTGTAAACTCTCAGAGGTAAGGATTTAATGATAGAATTTTAGAAATGCTCGGGGCTTTAAAAATATGCTTCCACTTACCAGGCTAACTTGAAGTTGTAACTCAAAGTTGAAATGCTAAATTATAATTCTTGGATTATTTTGTTTCTTCTATTCAAGGTTCTGACACCTAGTCAACTTATAACGGTAAGTATATTTTGCTCTGTTGATCTATAGGGAATCTAAGAAGTAGCCCCTAATACCAAACAAAATGAGCCATTCGTTCTGAAAGGCACTGGGCTCACTCAGTTCATCCGACACAAGGTAAGGATGCCTGTTTAACCCAAATGCAACCAGGCACATGGAAGAACTCTTTCCTTCGGTTCAATTCACTGCACTATAAAGTGACAAGACCACGCCTTCTATGGTTGACACTTTTGATGAGCGAGAATGCAGGAGAGAGGGACAGAATAAAGCGTTTTAGGAGATTAGATTCCATTACTAATGAGTTGCCACAAACACATACCACGTGGAACATTCCCACATCTAAACCCCCGAAGAGGGCTGTTTGTTTTTGAAGCAGTGTCTCTCTACATGGCCTGGAACTCACCATGTAGACCAGGCTGGCCTCAAATTCACAGCAATCCACCTGCCTTTGCCTCTGCCTCTGCCTCTGCCTCTGCCTCTGCCTCTGCCTCCGCGGTGCTGGTATTAAAGGTGTGTACCACCATGTCAGGTCCAAAAGATGTTTTTTAATCAACTGCACATGACTGAACTGATAAGCGAACTGTTTATTGGTTAGTAAGTACCATAGATCAGTGCATGTCGGAGGAATGCTTTGAATAGAATCACAAAAGAAAAACCTACAAAGTTCCATTTCTCTATCTAAAAGACACACATTTCTGAAATAGGAGCACATTCACAATGAAGAAAATGCATGTTACTCTTTTAGAAGCTGTTAATAAAACATTTTCATAGTTAATAGTGTCTTAGAAACAGACATGTAGTATTCTTTTAAGGGTCAGAAAGCTGGGCCAGAATAGTTTGTGTGAGAGATAAAATAGAAACTAGTTCAAGTCATCCCGAAGATCACTTAAACATACCGGGAAGCCTAAAGCCAATTTCAGTTCAGGCAACTGGTATTCTTCCCACAGCGCACCCTGTTAAAACATCACAGCCCATTCCCAGAGAGCAAATCTATAAACGCCAAGCAAACTTGCTAAGTGTGCTTCAGGTAGCCTTCAGAGTGATTACCAGTGATTATGAACTCAGCAGGGCTCCTTCCCAGGCAAGCTTGGCCACAGAAGCACAGAGCAGCCAGGGATGGGAAGCGGGTCTTGATCTCACTTGCAGAGCTGGACCAGTTTTGTGGATTAGCTGTCCTCCAGCACGGAAAATACGGACCCTGCCAGACTTCTGGGGGTATCCTCTCCTCAGAGAATCTGATTCGTTCAAGTTACCAGAGGCCTTCTTAAAACATCTAACCAATCTTACAGAACTGCCTTACCTAGCCAGTGACAGTGTCTACTCAGAACCACACACACTTCTCCTCTCTCGCTCTCCCTTCTCCCCCTTTCTTGCCCTCTTCCAACACTCACTACCCAGAGTGCTGTTCATGCATAAGAACCACTGAAGCTGGCCAGTGTGCACTCAGTTGGCTTCACTATTCCTACAGGCTCTGGCGCAGGCAGCTTAAAGAGGGGTTCACCACTTCCACCAAGTCAGTTTCTGATGTTCTGGGGCAGGAGCCTTAAAGAGGGGTTCACCACTTCCACAAGTCAGTTTCTTGAACAAGCTGCTGAGTTTTAAGCAGCCCATTTCCAGCGAAACAGCTGTGCAAGCAAACCCTCAAGACAAAACACACATCCATAGCTGTGCCAAAGGAGATCATTCAGCAGACGCTCATATCCACAACAAAGCCGTCACTTGCTTAGAGTGGACCAGAGCTTCTTCGACCTTCTAACTTTGAAATACAGTAGGTAGTTAGAAGGTGGAGAGAAGTATCTATGTAAATTGAATAAATTTAAATATCTTAATTTGGAAATCTTAAATACAATATCATTTTCAAGGAAGCATTTATGTACAAAACACTTTACCTAGCGCGTGGACGACGGCAAACAGAAACCAAAGGGCAAACCCACTGACGGTTCTCTCCTTTGCTCCTTTGCAGCTAATCACTTCGATTTTGAACCAACTGCAGGTAAATCGGTTTTTATAAACCACAAACTCACTAGGGAACTGATGCTGGTATTTAATTCTTTTCTTTCCTTATTTTCAGGGCTTCCTTGGGGTAAGATTCTATTTCTGATTATACTAAGTGACATCCAATGTCAGGTAAGAGAGACTTTCTTCTGAGCTACAAAAGCTAAGACAGAATCAGAGTCAGTTACAACCCACGGGCATTATGAATTCAGTTCCTGCGTCTCCATCAGTAAGTATCCTGACAGATACACAAGGGGGGTTCACAAATTTAAGGTTATAGAAATCAACACAACATTAAGCCACAAACTTTCAAATAATTGTACTTTACCTTGGATTTCTGTCTAATGGGCAACTCGGAGTAACTGAATGAGAAAAGTAAAATGACCAAAGGTAGCTCTGTCCTGTCCTCAAGGCAATTTTGAGGGGGGAAATTGGCTTTTCACCCACTAGCCTTCCATGCAATAAGTTTTGCTGCCCTGGGATATTACTAGTATTTTCTTTACCACTGTGAGGACCTCCGTCCATCAGGCCACCACTCCCCATGCGGGAGAAAAAAGCTGCTATATGTTATAGGAAGATCACAGTTTTTCAGCATGTACTGATAATCAAAGCACAGGATTTTCTATGCCAATCCCCCAATTAACACCACTATTAACACATCAACAAAATAACCACGAAACGGGAGAGGCGGGTGGAGGCAGAGGAGGAACCCTGACGATGTCTCGCGTATTAACTATCACTGTGCTGGCTATTTCTACAGAAATAATTCCCGGTTACAGCCGAAGTCACACATGGTGAGTAAATCCCCAGAAGGCGGCCATGACCTCGTACGTGGTTTATTGTAAGGGTTTATCACCACAGACAACGTCTGTGTGAGTAAATGAATGCCATGAAAAGGGCAAGAGTTCAGAAGAGCAACGAAACTGCGAAGGGTGTGTCTCTCAAAGGATGTATTCGAATTGTGTTTTAAGCGGGCTGGGGTGTGGCTCAGTGGGAAGAGTTCTTGCCTGGCGTGTGTAAGGTCCTGGTCCCACCCGCAATAAAACATAAACGTATTTAGAAAAACTCCAGAAATGTCTTAGAATATGCATCACAGAAGTTCTGGACATATTAAAACTAATCATTTTAACCCCAAGATGTCTTGAAAAAATGCTGGAGTTTTCAAATTCTTTCTTTATCTACCACACTTTTAACTTTCAAGATAACTATGACATTAAGTAAAATTAGGATAAATATTTATGTCTGAATGTTTTCAAAAACTCAAGAGTGCCTGTGTCAGGCACGTACCGACTGCGGCCATCATCCTCAGATTAAGAAATCCTGAAATAGACTGTCTTTGGCCCACAGCTGTGCACAATTTCATCGGTTGAATTTGAATTCAATTTGACCAGACAAAGCCTTTAAAAAAGCATGCAATACGTGGTTCACGTAGGCCCAGCTGTTGTAAGGGATCTACACCACTACACACAGTCCACAGGACTGACTGCCTCCTTTAGGAGCACCTCAGGGTCAGAACTCGGGTAGGGAACATAGCTGACAAAGAGCACACTCTGGGGCTAGGGAGACTGGGATCGAATCTCAGCTCCCTTGGGAGAGAACGTCTTGAGCAATCTTTCCAAACGCCAGCTGCTTCATCTGTAAAACACCTGAGGATGGAGCAATACTCGGCACGATCTAGCATCCCTACTGATGCTACTACTAAGGTCTCCTAGAGAGAAAAACTTCACCCCAAACGCAGGCTCGTAACCGCGAGCAGACATGAGCAAGAACAAGGACCACCAGTGACCTCAGACATGAGCAAGAACAGGGGGACCACCAGTGACTCTGGGGGACCACTGGTGACCACAAGCAGACACTCCTGACAGGAAGGCCGGAAGCCAGTGGTTTGAATGTCTTCTCTATTGCAGGTGGTGCTGAGTTTTGTCCAGGTTACCTGTTCTATGCTATCTGCAGCTTGGAACAGTCTTACCATCTTGAATACTCTGAAGAAAGTTCTGTGAAACTTCAGACAGCACAGCGAAATCTGTTATCTACAGACCATCTGCTCTAAATAAAATTCTCACTAAAACATCTGTGTGGCTTTCAGTGCATGTGTTTTGTGGCTGCTCAAAGCTTCTCAAGAGCCTTAGAAAGGAGCTCAGTCTCAGTGCTGGGAAACGGCGTTCTCTCCAAGCCGGCTTCACCCAGTGCCTCCTGAACACCCATCCTCATCGGGTCCAAGTGCCCATGACACACCTGAGGGCCATGCGTTTCTGTTTACCTTGAAATCCAGGTCTCAGAGCTCCTCAGCAGACTTCAGCAGGCTGCAAAGGCTGCGACCAGCTCAGCCCAGCTGTCTACCATGCAGGGTCCTGGCATATACCCCAACCCCTTTGTCCTTCCCTCTGGCTGGAGCGACCCTTATTCTCAAATCTCAAGACAAAACTACCACACCCCCTTTCCATACGCCGGAGTCTTCAGAGGTCCCGCTGGAATCCAAAAAGCATGGGCCTCTCGTTCAGGCCAACTGAACATGCCAGAGGACAGCTCTAGCCAGCAGGTGACACCTGGCTCACTGTAGTTAGATGGCATTACTTCCCCTTCTTCTTCCCGAGGGACCCCACCAATACATTCTCTCCTCCATCAGGGATTGCAATATTAGCAGGCACCTCTCAAAGAAGCTCCTCAATCCTTAATATTATCCACAAAGCCATCTGAACTCACAGAGGCTCCTGCTAACCTGAACAATTCCCTTCTATGTCTATTCTTTGTCAGAAGCCGTCACTGTAAAGTGACAGCTCTAGGAATCACTAATTCACCTGGGCATATTTTTAAAATTTAAATATTCTAAAAAGGAGAATAGGAATGTCTATTCACTGACTTTGATCTTTGACCAAAGATCAATAGGACTTTGCCTCAAAATAGAGAGAGAGAGACAGAGAGAGAGAGAGAGAGAATATGCAATAACTGCAATGCCATGGAGAGACGGCTGAGCAGTGAAGAGTGTTGGTTGCTCTTCCAGGACAGGGGTTTCATTCCCATCACACACATGGAGGCTCAGAACCACACGTAAATCTAGGTTCCAGGGAGCCAATGCCCTCTTCTGTCCTCCTTGGGCACTGCACGCACAAGAAACAACAAAAACAAAGCCAAGGGTTTAAAGGAAATCAAGTCAGGCATTAACAGCACTTGTGAAGTGGTGCCCTCCAAAAGAAGGCTAGTTCAGAAGGATCACTCAGCTCAAGGGCAGAGGGGAAAGCTAAAAATAAGAACTAGAAACACAAGTCACCAGCAGCTGGGTTTTATTTTTATTTTATTTACAATTCTTCAGAGAACATTTGTTATTTAAGTTTTGTTCGGACATGCTTTTGTTCATACATACAAAATCTGTTGATCTCTAATCCTCTGAGAAGAAAGTTTAAAATTCAGAGTTCTACTTCCCTGGGTTCACTCACTTTACTGAGTTGCAAACATTCCCGCGTGTCTTTTGTGGCATGTGAGTGCTGCGACCCTGCTGTCTGCAGTGCTCCCAGGTGGCCTCCCAGGACAAGCTACGGTCCGTGGCCGTCAGTGGCAGGGTCCTCGCTCCAGTGCGCATCTCGTTTCTCAGCCACGAGTTTGATGAACTGAGAGTGGCTGGCATAGAGCTTGAGCTGGTCGCTGATGTCCACCCACTTTACCTTCCCCGCATCATCTCCGGCCTCCAGGGTGAGCTTGTCCATGGTCTCCCCTGGGTTGCAAAGAAGCAACACCAAAAGAAAGAAAATTTGTTTATTCTGCTTTTTTTTTTAAATGTAATTCTGTATCCTCAAATTGTCTTACTAAAAATAAGATTAAATCTTTGTTACTATGTAGCCAAAGGATTAAAACCCAGAATATTCCAAAATTTCTAAATTTTAACTGATTAAATATTAGTTGAAAATTTTTCTCTTTAAAGACTATTCCTTTGAGAGGAAGAGAGATGCCACACTATATGAAAGCCTTTTCAAAAACAGATTCCAAAAGGATTATAAAGTTAAATATAAAAAAACCTAAAAAGCAAATCTATAACTCATTTTGTTGTTTTAAGTTATACAATTAGATGCCAAATTGGAAACTAAAATACAATGTATCTATAATTGTATTACACATATAGAAATGCCATCACTGTTAGAGATGCAAATGCTCTTCCTACAGGATAAGCTGTCAATGTTTACCCAGTGTGTTAAAGACGAACTCTCCCTGGGGAGATCATATTGATTATTACCCAGTGTGTTAAAGACAAGCTCTCCCTGGAGAGAGCATACTGATTATTACCCAGTGTGTTAAAGAGGAACTCTCCCTAGAGAGATGATTTTGATTATAACTTTCAGAACACCTAAAGGACCAGACTGTTACGTTAAACAAGGTGTGATGGCCTACTGCAGTACCCTGAGCACCGCAGAGAACTGAGGCAGGAGTCTGCCATCAGCTCAGTCAGCCTGGGTTATGTAATGAGACTCTGTCTCAAAAACAATGATCCAGAGGACATTGAGAGTAAAAGTAAACTATTTAAGGCAACATATGTGCATGTTTTATGTATGTATATAGACATTTAGTATTATATACTATGTTCTTTCATTTTTATTTATCTCTATGTGCATGAGTGTCTTGTCTGCATGACTGACTGTGCACCATATGTGTGCCAGGTGCTGGAAGAGGCCAGAAGAGGGCTCTGGCATCCCTGGAACTATAGTTACAGACACGAGTCACAATGATGGTACTGCGAGTTGAACCCAGGTCCTCTGGAAGAGCGGTCAGTGCTCTGAACTGCTGTACCCTGCACCATATCTCATTCTTAAAAATGGACCGGATCAAACTTTCCACCTCTGTGATACAGGTGAAAAAAATGATAGAGAGAAACAATGGACCACCACCGTCACTAAACGGAACACGGTAGGTAGTCCATGACTGGAATCCCAGTATTTGGGAGTCACAGGCAGGAAGATTGCCCTCGAGATCATGGCCAGCCTAAGCTATATACTAAGCTCAGGACAGCCTGGGCTAGAGTGAGCTCAGGACAGCCTGGGCTACAGAGTGAGCTTAGGACAGCCTGGGCTATGTGAGGCCAGCCCACATTTGTTGCCATCAAGTGGCCACAATATTCTTTTATGTGACATGCCAAGCAGCGGAAGCACCTTTGATCTGTGTATTTGTGAAGGTGCACAAAGTTTGGAGGAAGCTACGGCAAACTGGTAACTGAAGGTAGTGGTTTATATTTTCTTCTTTACATCATCTATTCTCTAAGTTTCAATTATTTTACCTATGTAAATCACCAGTACAGTTAGACAACAGAAGTCCTTCTTAAGAAGACAATGCTCTGGCCACGGCTCTAAGAGCAGGCACCAGCATCCCAGCTCTACATCGACCCACACTCCAGCTGCCAACACCTCCACAGACTGAGAGACACACAGCTGCCATGAAGCTGAAGTAGAGATCCTCAACCTGAGGTTGCGACCCCTTTCACAGGGGTTGCCTAAGACCATCAGAAAACACAGATGTTTATGTTACAACTCATAAGAGGAGCAAAATTACAGCTATGAAGTAGCAACAAAAATAATTTTATGCTTGGGGATCACGACACAAGGAAGTGCATTAAAGGGCCGCAGCATTGGGAAGGTTGGGACTCACAGATTTAAAGTGTCCTATTAGCGCAGTACAGTCCTCTGGCACTCTGTTTTATCTGAACTAACAATATCTAGACTTTCTTTCACTCCTCTGGTCACCTGACTTATATTTAAATGCATGCAGACGTAAGCAGCTACCTCTAGTGAGAAGAAAACAAACAGCTCTCATATCCACACTTCCAGTCCTGTGGGCAGAAAATCCCGTCATGGCAGGGAAGGGGAAGAGCGGCCAGCCTGGGGCATACAGTTTACTGCCTCTATGCACAATTATATTAGTAGTAAGGGATTCAACCAAGAGAACAGCGCACCTTAGACCACCTTACCAAGAAGTCTCTAAGATGCCCAAAGGTCTGAGGAAGACTAGAGACAGAGGCCTAGTGCCCACAGGTCTACTTGCCTTAATTCCTTTTGTTAGATAAACCACAGCCAATCTAAATAGGTAAAAGTGAGAGCCAAAGACTTGGAATTTATGGGCAAAGAGTTTTCTTTTTACAGAGAAAGATCAATCACCCATCAGGTAAAAAAAATCCACCTTCAATCTTTGGAGAAAAGGTCATTTTTTTTACCCTTGCAAATAAACAATGAGTTGTGTGCAGTTAAACTGTAGAAACCCCATCTAAACTCCATTCGCATGCAGCTTCTAAGTTCCAGGCAGAACTGCAGCATAGAGAAAGGGTTTGGTGCTGGGGTTTCCCCAAGGCCAAGGACAGGCTGAGTGAAAGGAGACCTCCCACATCTAAGCCTCTGGTCCACGGACAAATGATTAGCATAAGACCAGGCAGCTCAGCAAAGAGCCAGAACTCGGTGTTCTCTCAACACAGCCTCATTTAATTACTCTTTAAATGAAGGCCAAATGCTTAAAACACCACTCAGCTCAGCAAGGAAGGATGTTCCGAGGAGCCAGCAGACGCATAAAGAGCGTAAGTCACTCTGAAACAGCAGGTTCCCTTCTCTTCTGTAGTTACAAACTGTCTCTAAATCCCAAGACCTAAGATGAGGAAATGCCCTTGCTCAGCAACACATGCTTCTTACAGACGCACAGCACCCAAGGCCGCAGCACCAGGGCAGTACACCACACAGGGTAAATGTAAATGCCATTTCTTACCTCATGCCAAACTGCCCTGCCCAAATTCTCACTTGCTTTTGCTTTTGTTTAGACAAGTTTAATTAAAGCTTAATAAATGTAGTAAACAATTGCTGGCTTTAAATCGCATTATGTTAGCCTGTAACTCCAATCCACTGCCATCGACAGATTAAGGATATTTAGTCACTG